TAAACGGTCAAAAGGCGTTTGGGATACACTCAAATTTAGGCTCAAAATTAACTCAAAATAAGCCTATAAAAAACATATTTTCCAACAACTCAAACTTTATAACTAAGAAAGTGTCACCATTATTCATTAAAAAACATGTCATTACATTTAAACAATATACAAGTTAACCAATACAAAATAAATTTTATGACGATTTTACTTTTAAAGTGGACCGCTTGTAAAGAGAATATCTTTAATTGTCTTTATTTAAAATAATATTTGAAATTTATGATTAAATATATTATAATTAAAAAGATAAGGGTTATGCTAAAGACTTCAAATGATTTATTAAATTTTTTATTAAACTTCTCACATAAATATAAGTCTAATGTAAAAGATCTGATAGAAAATTTAATAAATCATTTAAAATTTGTAACATTTTTCTAAAAGGAAGGTGTTATTTGCAAGGATAGAAGAATGGTGGAGGACAAAAATGAAGAATTAGTGGTTGGGGCAGCCGGCCAGCAAATCCGACAATGCCATACGGGACAACGAGTTGGCGCCAACTGGTGGGTCCCTTGTAACGTGGAGTTTTTATTTTAATATTTTAAAAAAATAATTTAAAAAATTGACACATTTTTTAAATTATTTGAAAAATTAACTTGTTTTTTGAAATCGCATTTTGAAAATATAATTTTATTATTCATTAAAAAACATGTCATTACATTTAAACAATATACAAGTTAACCAATACAAAATAAATTTTATGACGATTTTACTTTTAAAGTGGACCGCTTGTAAAGAGAATATCTTTAATTGTCTTTATTTAAAATAATATTTGAAATTTATGATTAAATATATTATAATTAAAAAGATAAGGGTTATGCTAAAGACTTCAAATGATTTATTAAATTTTTTATTAAACTTCTCACATAAATATAAGTCTAATGTAAAAGATCTGATAGAAAATTTAATAAATCATTTAAAATTTGTAACATTTTTCTAAAAGGAAGGTGTTATTTGCAAGGATAGAAGAATGGTGGAGGACAAAAATGAAGAATTAGTGGTTGGGGCAGCCGGCCAGCAAATCCGACAATGCCATACGGGACAACGAGTTGGCGCCAACTGGTGGGTCCCTTGTAACGTGGAGTTTTTATTTTAATATTTTTAAAAAATAATTTAAAAAATTGACACATTTTTTAAATTATTTGAAAAATTAACTTATTTTTTGAAATCGCATTTTGAAAATATAATTTTAAAATTAAAATTATACTTTTAACATGTAATTTTATCTTAAAATCATATGTTGAAATGCAATATATCTTAAAAAATGTTGCGTAGCTCAAATACTCTAGGCATAACTCAGAAAAAAATTTAGTTACTTGAGCGTAAGTCTAAATTTTTTTTACATGAATTCAGGTATCTAAATTTAAACACAATAAACTTATCTTTCATTGTTTTAAACTAATGTGATGTATTTTCCGAAATAAAAAATCAAAAAAATTATTAATATAAAACATAATAAAAAAGTTTAGTTTGAATTATGTATATCGAAAATTAGAATATATTATATTGTAATATGATTTAACTGAAATTATGATAAAATAATTATTATTTTATATTTATAATATAATTTATATATATGAACAATAAAATTAGGGTTGGTCAGATTCCTCAAATTGTGACAATTTCTATCGACAGACCCTGTAGAAATTTAATTTAAATTTGCAATTTTAGATCACGCCTTGATCAAATTTGAAAATACACAACTAACTAAACTCAAATTTACCAAGAAAAAATTTTCAGTAGGAAAAAAAATGTAAATTACACTATCTGTCCTTTAAATAGAAGAATTGTAATGAACCTTACAATATTAACATAATTACACCGAATTCATTTAAATTTCAAATTGCATTATATTTTACTCCACGATATTAAAAGACAATTATCTTTGCAACAATACTCTTATTTTATTTAATATAATTATAATTTCACTTCTATATTAATTACTTTTAACAAATTTAAAAATAAAAAATGAGTTGACAAATAAAACAGCATTGCTTGTGTATCTCTTGTAGTAATAATTTCAGAGTTTACTCGAATTAGTTTTAGTGTGAAGTGATCCTTGAGAATTGTAAGAAAATGATTTAATTATCAAACTTAATATCACCAATATATTTATTATTATTTGTAGAGGGTCAGAAATTAAGCTCCAAATTAAGTATGGACCTAAGTACTTTGGGGAGACCAGGAATGAAAAAGGTGCATGGGCTTTTCATGGGCTAAAGCCCAAGGGAAATGGGTCAACAGAGGGCCGAAGTAGGTCTGACCCACCAAGGGTCCAAACGAACTCCACGAAGGAAAATGTCCAAATCAAGTTACAGAGGCAACACATGTAACGGTCAAGTTGCAGAGGTAACACTTGCAGTGGTCAAGTTGCAGAGGCAACACTTGAAGCAATCAAGTTGCTGAGGCATTTTGCCTCAGCGCCACCATCCTCCAATAATGTCGGTTTTGCCGCCATCTGAAGTTGCTGAGAGAAAGAGGAAGCCGAAACAACTAAGTTGCAGAGGCGACGCTTGCGACGGCCAAGTTGCGGAGGCATTTTGTCTCAGCGCCGCCATTCCAAGTATTGTCGGCTCTGCCGCCACCTGGAGTTGCTGAGAAAATGAGAAAACCGAAGCAACTAGGTTGCAGAGGCAGTACTTGTAACGCCCAAGTTGCGGAGGCATTTTGTTGGTGCCGCAATCTCTAATATTGTCGGTTTTTCCATTTGAGCTTGCCATAGGAAATGACTGCCACAGCAGCTATAGCCGTCGCAACCAACTTGCGGAGGGAACATCCCGCGAACGTGATAGCACCCTTTGGGAAAAGCTTCCCCTTTGCAAGTAAAGGCTAATGCTTGGCGCTGATAGCAAGTTCCAAGACTTATTGGTTAGAGCTGATAGCAAACCTAGAGATACCAGTTTACTGCGGCGATCCCGCGAAGATGGGAGCAAGGTAGCCCGAGTGTAAGGGACTCCTTTTCCATTACCGAAGTCATTGACCTGCCCTAGTCGCACAGGCAGGACTAAGGAAGCCCCCTTGGACTTGGTACTAAGATATAGTATGGCTGATAGCAGGCTTAGCTGTGGCTTTCGTCTTGGGAAGCTGGGAAGTTTATGGTTAGGTGGTTAAGGGTGGAGGCTTCGCTGAGGTGAGCACGAATGTAATGGATAGTAGATTAATGAAGTCCTGAGAATGCATGTACTGCCCAAGTAGAACTGAGAAGGTAAGTGCAGTAGTAAGGTTTATCGCTGCAAGTGCACTTGTTGAGGTTCGAGCTAAGAAGGCAAGTGCAGCGGCAAACACTCCCGCTGCAACTGCATTTGCTGAGGCTCAAAAGGGAGTTGCAACGCCAAACACTCATGTCGCAACTACACTTGCTGAGACTCAAAAAAGGTAGTTGCGGAGGAAAATAGATAGTACACAGTACATGCAGAGGGACACGTGACACCTTCAGCCTGGTGGCTTAAGACTGAATATTCCATGTGATCCTCTAGGACACATGTCCTATCTCTATTTGGCCATTTGGTATCAAGGAAAAGCCTATAAATATGACCTATTTCCCAAGGTTCAATGAGAGGAATTTTGGAAATTTACGGGAGATACTGCCCATTTGTGTACTGCCATACATTTCTTCTTGAGCTACGTATTTCACCCTCACCCAGCTGCTCACTCTCTATCTTTCCAAACAGTTGTTACTGCTCATTCTCCAGCCACTTCCACCATTGTTGGACCATTAGCATAGTTTTGCTTCTCTAATTACCTTCCTAACCTTGAACCCCCCTACATTATTAAAAAAAAAGGTAAACGTAATTTTATTAAAATTGGGTGATTTAAGGGCATTTCTAACGGTATATCAATTTTTTCACTAAATTTGAGTAAAAGCTCTCTATGATATCAAGTGCTCTAACGGAGAGTTTTGTGGCTCTGCCAAATCACCAATCGACCGGGTGGACGACCGGGCAGATATCCGGCAGATCGACCAGTTAGTGCAAATTTTTCATAATTTTTCTTATTGAGGTGGTCATCAAGAGGGGTTGAGTGGGTGGACGATGGGAAGGACGACTGACCAATGTAATTTTTTCACAAATTTTTGCCTTGAGGTGGTCATTCGGAAGGACATCCGGGGAACATCCGGTGATGAAAATCCAACGGCATTGAACAGTGATTTGATAAAAGACACATTGGTCCTTAATTTGATGAAAGAAAAAAGAAATCCTAAATTTGATATCGATTTGATGAAATCGTTGAAGCTGAAAAAAGAATTATTTTTATCAAATTTAAATTTAATGATAAATTTAATACCTAGTTAGAGATGGTCTAAGAGCATCCGCAGTGGACGTGTTAGTGATAGCATTAGTGTCAGTTGTCAAAGTTTAGCTAGCTACAATCACCTTTGGATCTCACAATGGACGTATTAACGTGTGTGTTAGGGTCAGTTGCTAACTTGTTTGTTAACTGCTGAGAGCGTTGCAGCTGGGAAGGGAAGTGCTTTTTTTTGTCTTCCGGGTTTCCAACCAGTTGATCGGTCAACGGCAATTTTATTTTATTTTATTTTTTTTAACTTTTTGGGATTTTTTTTTTGACTTCAAATTTAATTTTGGGCTTCAAATTTTTGATTAAACTAAATTATTTATTTATTTTATTTATTATATACACATATATATTTATATATATATATTTAACACCCACCTTAATACATCCCTTAATACATCCATTGCACCATCACTCGCTCTCTAAAATTAATAAATTCTTAACACATCACAAATATTTTTAGGCCTTACTTTTATCATTTTTTGTTATATAATACACTTTAACAAATAATTTTGACTAGCCCAATGGCCTGAGTAATTATATAAAAGTCGAGTGATTTACTATAAATATTTATTCTAAATCTGACAAAGAGGTTTTACCCTAAAAAAAATATCTAAAAATATCTTTTCTTCTCTGTCATTTCCTCTCCAACAGATAATCTCCCCCTCAAATACAATACTTTCTGCGAGAGAGAGAAGAGAGAGAGAGAGAAAGAAAGAAAGATAAAAAGTGGGTTTCTGAGAGAGAGAGAGACAGAGAGATGAGGGAGGTGTTGAGCATTCACATAGGACAAGCGGGGATTCAGGTGGGGAATTCATGCTGGGAGCTGTATTGCCTCGAACATGGCATTCTTCCCGATGGCATGATGCCCAGGTATATCAAATTTTTTTCCAACTCCATCCATCCATACATACATATATAGAGATTTATTCATGTGGGTTTGTGTAAATACGTCCTTTTTTTTTCATCATTTTGTTGTGTTTTGCGTTTTTTTATTTTACGGATCTCAACAAAACATATTTTTCTGATTCTTAAAAAAAAAAAAGAGAAAAAAAGAAATCTGGGAATGGTTTGTTTGTTGGTCTACTTTGGCCCTGAATTCAATTGTTCTTTCTTCTTTGTTGGTATCTATCATGGCTTTCATTAGGTCACAAGCCAATGATTTTTGTTTTGTTTTTGTTTTTTGGGTAGTACTGTGTTATTGTTTATTGGGTTTCTAGAGGGAGGTTTGGGCTTCAAGCTTATGAAGAAACATCGATTTCTCCATTGTGCTAACCTAACTAAATTTCTAAGATCAAAAGAAAAGAAAAAAGAACAATGTATTCGGATTGGATTTGTTTCTTTTTTAATTGTTGCTTCCCAATGAACGACTATGTTTTTTTTTTTTTTTTTTTTTATACATATATTGACTTGAAGAAGATGTACAATTCTAATGCTTGGGAAATGTAACTGCAGTGAAGACATCTTCTTCATTATTCCCTTCCGATCTGACAGCTTTTTGGTATTCAAGTGCATCACAAAAAGTGGCTTGATATTCTGTTAATGTTAACACATTGTTTTGGCGGTCCCAAAACTCTCATCCCCTTTTGTGTGGTGTTAATTTTCCACTCATGTTGATTACCATTGTTATGATAAAAAATAAAAAAAAATAAAAAATGTTGATTTCTATTGTTACTTTATTCTGTACAAGGGATTTTGAGAAAATTAATGGGCTCATTCTCTTTATCTAACTCTTCCTTGTGATCTAATCCTCACCGACATTGCTGTCTTGCTCACTGCTTTTGAGTCAACCTCCTCCAAACTTTGACAGCATCATACAACACTCTGAACGATACATATTGATACTCTTGCATATTGTTTTCTTGCGACATCCTTTGGTTGTATTTATTTGTTTTTATGAAAATGGCTCTTTAGAAAAGTGAATTAACATAAAGTAAAGCTACTTTTTCCTTGTAAGCATTTGGTTTTTATGGAAGTCTGTATGGAAGCTAGACACTCTAGGATTTGACCTTTTGCAACAGCAAGTTGGTATAAACTTGTCTGCCCAAATCTCTCTTCTGGTTATGATTGCAACAAGTAGTACTTTGATGATTTCTACAAGAATATTCTCATTTATGACTGTTAATTTGGACAGAACAGACTCAGTCTGTCAAATGTCATAAAGTGACCACTGTATTTAGTGAGTGCATGGCTTGTGCCTGTGTATATCAGCTAAATAGTTAGTAATGGTAAACATGATCCCTTTTTTTTCTTTTTTGGTGTTGCAAACAAGTTAAACTTCTTTGTGTATGAATAAGCAGATGTTAGTATTCACTTTTAAAACTGTTAGTATTATTCCTGCTTTCCAATCTTCTTTTGGACCTAATAGGGTATATCTTATCTACTTGCAGTGACACCACCGTTGGTTATGCACATGATGCCTTCAATACCTTCTTCAGTGAAACCAATGCTGGCAAGCATGTGCCTAGGGCAATATTTGTTGATCTGGAACCAACTGTGGTCGATGAAGTTAGGACTGGGAAATACAGACAACTTTTTCATCCCGAGCAACTTATTTCTGGAAAAGAGGATGCCGCTAATAACTTTGCCAGAGGACATTATACAGGCAATGTTCAATTATACTGATATTCTAATAATGGTAATTTGTTAAAAACATTACTAAATTGGCTAAATCTGCTTTTTTGGTTACATGCTGCAGTGGGGAAGGACATCATTGAGATATGCCTTGATCGAGTGAGAAAATTAGCTGACAATTGCACTGGCTTGCAAGGGTTTTTGGTTACTAACGCTGTTGGCGGTGGCACTGGTTCTGGATTGGGGTCCTTGCTTTTGGAGCGCTTGTCTGTAGAATATGGCAAGAAGTCAAAACTTGGCTTCACAATCTATCCTTCTCCTCAGGTATTTTCTTAAAATAATTACCAGAATGGCAAGATCTATGTTACTTGGAAAGTGGATCGTTCAGTACGTGGAACGGGATCAAGAACGTGGTACGCCACATTCTCTAAAATGTGGTATGATATGAGTAGTCTTGTTTAGATTACACTAATAGAATTTAAGGTATTTCTAGAGCAATTTTCTTTAACAATTAAATATTCAATAAATTCTTATTTTTTTTCTCTTCAAATTAGTCATGTTCAAACACATTTCTAGCAGCATTATAACTCAATTTTTACATTTTGTCATACCAAAACTTCACTCTCCTATATTTTAGTTTGTTATAATTCATTTGTTTTTTCTCCTAAGGAACTTTAATTTTATATTTGTAAATATTTTTGGGATTGCTTTGGATCACTAAATTCACCTTTTTGGAACAAAAGTGTTTATGTTTTGGAACGTGTATGTTACTTTGGTTGCTATTGAAGCAAATGAAGAAATTTTGAAAAATCAATTCTTCTCCCTAATCTTTCACATGCCATGTGTATTTTTTTCGTGCACAAACAGACAAGTTTTCAAGATTATAATTGTGAACAAATGCTGACTGTCAAATTTAAACTTGAGATTATTTTTTCAGATTTTTTTTAGAAGTGGTTTTTGTACTTTTAATAGGGAGAAAGACTATTTTGTTTCTTAAAGAATTCGATAGGTTTTCATCTTAAAGGTCTCACAACAACTTTTATCCTAAATCTCCAGGTCTCGACTGCAGTTGTGGAGCCTTACAACAGTGTGTTGTCCACTCATTCCCTCCTTGAACACACAGATGTTGCTGTGCTCTTAGACAATGAAGCTATATATGATATCTGCAAGAGATCCCTAGACATTGAAAGGCCAACTTACACCAACTTAAATCGCTTGATATCTCAGGTCATCTCATCGTTGACCACTTCCCTGAGGTTTGATGGAGCCATTAATGTCGACATTACAGAGTTCCAAACTAACCTTGTGCCATACCCTCGTATTCATTTTATGCTCTCTTCTTATGCACCGGTGATCTCTGCTGCAAAAGCTTACCATGAGCAGCTATCCGTTCCTGAAATCACAAATTCTGTGTTTGAGCCCTCAAACATGATGGCCAAATGTGACCCGAGGCACGGAAAGTACATGGCTTGTTGTTTGATGTATCGTGGAGATGTAGTACCCAAGGATGTCAATGCTGCTGTTGGTACCATTAAGACAAAACGAACTGTTCAGTTTGTCGACTGGTGAGTGTCCTGCATGACTTGTTTTTTTTTGACACTATTACACTAATTTAGACATAGCAATGCTTGCACCAGGATGGATAAGGTGTGCTGTCATCCTGGTTGTGCCATTAATTTTGCATAATTTTACAGTTGTTTCTTTCTAAAAATGGTAGCAGTCTGCTCCAATCCAACTTTAGTTGCCATTCATTCGTGTGGGTTTATCACCATTACTGTCTGACACTACTGTAGTATTCACATTGTGCTTTCTATTCTTTAGATATTCTAAAGCGCTGTTTTTTTTTTTTTGGCACATTACATTTTCCAACAAATAACATTTTTTACTAAAAACTTTTTCCATAAAATGTTTTCTATGGAAAATGTTTTACTATGTTTGGTTGTGACTTTGGAACTTGTGTGCTAGTGGTGGTGTTACTGGTGGGGTGGTGGTGGTGGTGGTGGTAACACTATATTCCAACAAATGTTCTCTACCTTTCAAAAGTGGAAAACATATTCCGTCCAAATAAACTAGTTTTCTGTTGTACCAAATGCCAAAAATTGCGAAAAACGTTTTCCAAAATGTGGTTTGTACCCAAACAAATGGAGTGTAATATTTATGTTTTGTTTCTAATGCTTAGTGAAAGAGAAGGAAATACAAGGTAATATGATAAAATAGTATGACAGACTGTAAGTTGTCTCAGCATAAAAATTTTGTTGTTCTTTGTATTGTTCTCAGTTCACATGATCCTAAAAATTTTGGTATGTGTATATATATATCAGGTGCCCGACTGGTTTCAAGTGTGGCATTAATTATCAGCCACCTACAGTGGTGCCAGGGGGTGATCTTGCAAAGGTGCAGCGTGCGGTTTGCATGATAAGCAACAACACATCAGTGGCAGAAGTTTTCTCCCGAATTGACCACAAGTTTGATCTGATGTATGCCAAGCGAGCATTTGTGCACTGGTATGTCGGCGAAGGCATGGAGGAAGGTGAGTTCTCAGAAGCCCGTGAGGATCTTGCTGCTCTTGAGAAGGACTACGAGGAAGTTGGGGCAGAAGGCGTTGATGATGAAGATGAAGCAGAAGACTACTGAATGTAATTTTGTTGTTGAAAGATGAATGATTTATTAATGCCTGCATATCTTTCTATTGTTTGATGCCAAACCTTTGGGCCTTTTTTCTTTCTTTTTGTGATAATGGTTCTCTTCTTGCATTAATGGTTTGAATGACATCTCTGTTTTCATTTTTGTTGGTGATGGTAGAGTGGGTTGAATTGTTTAATTGTAAATATTCAGTGAAATGTCTTGTACTTTGGTTGAAGTGTACTAGAAAACTTCTAGGGCAGGCCTGCCAGTGATGAATGGTCTCCCTATGCTCCCTAACCCTAATTCCTCTCCACTCCAGCTACATGCCCATCCCCAACTCCAACCGCCACCCCCTACCCTACCCTCGTCACCCACCTTTTCTGTCCCACTCTCAATTTTTCCCTCCCTCTAGTTGTGATTTTCTCTCGCTTCACAAATTCTCTCGTTTCTCGCTTGCAATTTCAAATTTGTCAGGGAAGAATGGGTTGGGAGGTGGCCGTCCCACTGTCTCAATTTCTCCCTCCCTCTAGTTGTGATTCTCTTTCGCTTCACAAATTCTCTCCTTTGTCGCTTGCAATTTCAAACTTTCAGGGAAGAACGGGTTGGGAGGTGGCCGTCCCACCCTCAATTTCTCCCTCCCTCTAGTTGTGATTCTCTTTCGCTTCACAAATTCTCTCCTTTGCCGCTTGCAATTTCAAACTTGTCAAGGAAGAACGGATCAAACTTGTCAAGGAAGAACGGGTTGGGAGGTGGATGGCGAAGGCTTAGGGGGTGGGTGGAGAGGGGCTTTGGGTGGCTGGAGATGTCAGTAAGGTTCTAGTTTGGGAGAACAGAAGCTAATTTCGATATTAAGTGAGGTATATAGACTATAAAATTTAAATTTAGTGAGTTCAAAGGACAGATCCAAAGAAATTACGTAAATGCTATTATCAGCATGTATCAAATTTATCAATTGTTAACTTGACCATCGAAATTTAGTTTAGCAGAACAATGAACGCTTGAGGAAGATCCCAAAAGACCAAATCAGTAGTGAGAAAGGCCATTATCGGCAGAATTACCTCACCTCTACCAAATCAGACGGTGAGATCTCAATCTGCAATACCAATTCCATTATAAAAAATTTCTTCTATTTTCTTTCATATTAAATTGTGGTTGGTCCAATTATCAAGCACAAATCACAGTTTTTGCATATTCTAAACCTTGAGCCACAGCACAGCTCCCAAAATCAGATATCAGAGGCCACGCAAGCACAGGAAATTGTTCCAGATCAATACCAAGACACCCAAATCTTCTTTTAATCTTAATTCTGATAGCCACCAAATGAACAATCACAATGTAGAAAAATATGAAATTAGTGGCAAAACATACATACAGAAGAATAAGAAGCCAAAAAAAATCATAATTGTATATCAAATCACCTTCACATCCAAGTTAAAAACAACACAAAACTGATACAAGATGTCACTCACAAGTCTCAACCTCATGTGAACTTCGACCCACAATGACACCTAATCAAAACCACAAACTCTTGATTCTCTTCTTTCTGCCTTTATGGTAAAGCCTCATACAATCAATCATCCTTGTAATAATATACACATACTACACCAAAACTTTCAGATTCTCACTTCAACACACCTTTTCCTTATCCTCTTTTCCCCAAATGAAACAACCTCCACCAACAATGCAAACAGCACATCGGTACAAAATGCACGACCAAAGGAATTATGGTTTACCTCGTGAAAAAAGAATGGATAATAGAAACACATAATACAAACTAAAAGGACACAATCACCGGTAAAGGGAATGGTGCTACTACGCCCACAAATCCGAAAGCAGCTAAGATGAGAGGATGGATTGCAGTGCAAGCAGCTGCTGAGGCTGCAAGGATGACCAAGTTGATGCTAGGGCAGATGGTGATAGTGTATTCTGAAGCTGCCTCAAAAGATTAACCATTCGGCTGGCAGTTTGCTCTGATGCTAGATCTTTACCGGCACAAAGAACCTTCGACAAGGATTTGAAGATATAAATAAATAGAGGCAAAAACAGAAAACAAAAAATCAGATACTTAAGCAAGAAAGTAAACCCAACACTATTACTGGTAGACCTAGAATTTTATGTGCTGCCTGTAACGATAATTTGCTTAGAATTTTTCTACCCATCCATCGACCATATGCCTTCACATATGTTCTCATTTCTCTACCCATCGACCATACAAATGATAACATATGCATTAAACATATTATGGAAATGGCGCTAAAGAACTAATAAGTTGACAAGCACTTGGTTCTGCTTTCTTTACCAAAAAGCTCAACATGTGCCCCAAACAATTATATTTGTAATTGCCAAGTACATCAACATAAGAATTAAGAAATTGGAAAGGTAGATTAAGGATAGGTTATACCTCTGCAAAAACCGCAACTATTTTGGGAAGATATTGATTGTTGGGCCCTAAAAGTTCCCTGTCTGACCTGTACATATGATGCGATTCAATTTTCAATACATGTAGAAATGTGGACTAAAGCATAAAGAAATATAATGCAAAAGGAAAGAAGAAGCTGGATAAATGTCAGGTTGACAAGATCTACAAGAAGTTAAAATTTCAAGTTTCTACCTTTCCACCATAGAACAAAGCTGGTCGTGTACAACTTTAGCCTCAATCATATCACTCTTAATAGGCAAGCAGCTTAACCAGGCAGGGACAACCTGCCAAACGGAACAAAAATTACACAATGGAGCGGAAAACAATAAATTTATTTTTAGAGGACATTGCTTAAACACTAAAAAGTGTCATGAAGATGGAACATTATGATAGAAATAGTGATTCGCGAATCAAAATTACAAAAAATATACGAAGAAATTCTATATAATGATGCCTCAAAGATATTTAACATTTTTGCAGGTAGCAAAAGAAGCTCATCAAACCACATCAGATTCCAACTTGACTGCAAAATAGATCAGAAATTACTGTTTATCCGTCCAGCCCAATTCAAAGGGAAGATATCATTAAAAAAGTCCTAAGGAAGCAAAAGCCTCCATTTAAAGACAATTTGCTTAGGTACCAAATAGCAGGGCAGTGAAGACAACAATATCACCGTAATGGTGTAACAATGATAAAATTAATGAAAGAACAAATTATGAATTACAACACCCCAAAGATATTTAAGATTTTTGTTGAATGCCTTCCCTTTTTTCCCTAATCTATTTTTGTTTTTTCCTTTCTTTTTAAATACTGGAGCCGACAAATTGTCATTGTACACTGAAACAGTGGAGGATGGATGCCATTGACAGTATTTTCACTGATTCTAGACAATTGGGGAGGCTTAAGTGCCAGTGTAGTCTCCAGAGTAGCTTCCTGGCAAGCTAGAATGAACTCAACATCACCAAATAAATTAATTGACAGGCAAGATTGTGTTAATAATTTTCATGGAATAAATTACTTCAGTTGATGCTGAAAACTCCAAGGCTGCCACATATGGGCTCACTTGGGTGGGCATAAGTACAATGAAAAGAGTTGTCCCCTTACAATGTTCATGCAAGGATGAAAGATTGCATTCATAGGACATGCAGTCATAGTTGATCATGAATCATGATTCGAACACGAGTACCCAAAAACAAAAGAAACAGTAGTCAGTGTCCATGTCAAAAGGTTTACAACAACTCCCTATTCAGTATGAGACAACTGGATGAAAATTCAGCGACGATGACAATAAAGAAGGCATTATAGACAAAAGGAACAACCAAAACTACAAGTACCTGAGCTGCATCTATGCTGTCACGATGGAATTGGCATATTTTACCAAGAGCTGAGACAGCATTGTCATATGCCATCACATTATCTGAATGCTTTGCATTAGGGTGCCTTATTACAACATCCAGTCGAGAAAGAGTCTCTGCAGGGGGAAAAAAAAAAGGTTCAGTTCTGAGAGAGGATAATCTTAAGGATAGAGCTGCTACTAAGCAATGGGAAAGGAAACTACCTCCCACAAGAGGTCTGAACATTGATCCACCAAACTCTGCACATACGCCAATCCCATAAACAGCTGCCTGAAAAGCATTAAACATTAGCATGAACGAAGCAATGACAACTTAAAAGCACACAAAGAATAATCTAATAATCAAATGAGGCATACCTGACGAACATCAGGGTTTTCATCATTGCATGCTTCCAATAAGAAAGGAAGGTAAGTATCATAATATCTGTTCCACCAAAATGAAAGATATATAAAAAGGAGAATGAAAATCAGGAATTCTTCAGTTGAAAATAACTTTTATGGGCAAATGCTTACTTAAGGGCTGCTTCTCGACACTGCTCAGCAACATCATCAAATATACAAATAGCAATTCTTCTCTCCTCAGCTGTTTTATCCTTACCCTGCATGTAAACAGCCTCGTCAGAATTTAAGAAGATGAATCTGCCAGTTCTGAAGCTAAACATATCTCCTTTTTTGTCCCATGAGTGCTATGCTTGGATCTTCGATTTGTGGAGGGGATGCAAAAGGAAAGGGAAAAAATGATGTAAAATCAGATAAATTTCTTTCTTTTTTTGGTTGGGTTGGAAAAATGAGAAGAAAATGAATAGATAATTGTCAAAAAAAATCATTTTTTGTTTGGTTACACATTTAAAATGAATATATACAAGTAATTTAATTTCCTTTTCATTTTCCTTTCCCTTGACAAATCCAAGATCCAAACATAGCAAAACTTTGTCAAGAAAGGAAGTGTGAAAGAGATGATAGGTGGATGTTGTGAGCAAGTAATCCAAACTACCATAAACAAGGAAGCAAACCGTCACCTTCATGTACAGTTGCCAGCTTACCACAACTTTTCCTTCTTTTGTTACTAAGTCCCTACCTATTCTATCTTATTCAATTACAGACAAACTCATAATCATTCTTTCCTTGCTTCCCCAAGTCATCACTTTTTTAAGAACTTCCCACATAAAATATGCAACTCCCCTAGTTTTCTAGGTTATTTATATTCTGATACTGCTCCAACTACCCAACAAATACTGGAGGCATAAGATGAACATGGAGCAAGTGCAATGGGCATGCAATTTGTGAATGAACATGTTAGAATTTCCCATCTTTACCTTCACCTACTCCACTACACACTCCACTTCACCTACCTCCACTTCACCACACACTCCACTTCACCTAACCCACTATCACCTCCACTACACCTACTACCACATTTTCTTCTATATATAGATTGTATAGGAATTGTAATCAATAAATCTTGTAATCTATCAATTCACACACACACACATTAAATGAGAATTCATGAAGGAACACCACTTATGAAAATAAATATAACTTTAAAGCAAACCACCACATAAAATAGGCCCTGTTCTATGTACCAAATTTACAAAAATTAAATCCAGGGTTTCTCACGTCAAAACAGAATTGCAGGAGTTGTCACAAAGTTCATTTGTTAAAACAATGCACATATAGCCAATTGTTTACTGTTACATCTCTATGCCTATGCATGAAAAGAATGTCCTCCACTGAATCTAAAGGCTCCTTGCATGCTAAAGGCGGGACAAGCAGAATTTTTTTTGTAAAAGAACTTACCCACATGGGAGTTAAATACGACGATAGCTCATCAAAAAAGGGCAAGAAAGAGGCCTTGAAAGTTTTGATCAAAGTGCCCAAGCAATCACCAACCTGGATCATATAATGACATATGATGTAAAACCAGATAACATTAGTATGTATTTACATAACAAACAAAGCAGCCAGGGTAACAGGTAAATGTCTCCAGTAGATATGCTCCAATAACATACTTGATCAAAAAGTTCCTCTTCTTGCTCGTTTTCCTCCTTCAGCAGTTCTCCTTCTTCTGCATCAAAGTCTTCTGCTTTGGCTCTTTCTGCCCTTTCTCTTTTTCTAGTTGAACTAGCTGTGATCACTTGTTTTATCTCTTCAACTACTGACCTTACTTGGCTTTCATCCAGAAGAAGTCCAGCAATCTGAAACAAAAAAAATTATCCAGATAAAGCTACAAACTTCTTTAAAGTCACATAAGCTCGCTCAAAGTTATCAATTTGCAAAAGAAGGAGAAGAGGGAAGGGTGGACGGTTTTGTGATTATAAGATCAGCACCAGTACAACAACATGCAACATTAACTTATATATTGGCCAGATAAAACCAGTTGACTGATAGTGCGCATCACAGAATCCCAAATAAAAACTAGCTGTGACTTAATTAATTATTCACCCAGCCAAGTTAGCAGGAAAACGGTGGGGACAAGTAAACTACATATTTCAGCAGTGACACTCAGATCAGTGCATGTTGGTGTACTGCAGATTATTTGATCTTTTAGGCATTAATTAATAATTGGCAGACCCTAACCCGCTTGGCTCGATTTCTTACCCTTGACCTGGCAGACATGAGAAAAATGTAACCTGCCAAAACCTGTTTAACCCGGCCATTAAGTTATTCCTCTAGTCTGGGAGGATTCAGAACTGACTGGCTTTACTTTCTATTGAACCCCTTTTAATAATGTTGCCTTGAGCACACCTCTTCTAAGGGAAACGGACACATGACATGACACATACGCAACAATTTTTAAACATCGCAAGACACAAGAAGTAGGGGATACACAATATTTATATATATAAATGCAACATAACACTAATTCATATAAATTATATTTTTTTCTTTTATCATTGCATTCTAAGTTACCATGTTGAAATTTATAATTAGTTGTCCCCAAGAGTGAGGTATGTCGGATCTAAAAAAATTTAAATAATAATAATATGACACGATTGAACGAGAGATCAACACATATAGGGGAGTATCCGACAAGTGGCTGTGCCCAACACGTGTCTGACATGAACACACCACCTTATCAGTATTCATGCTTCTTAGCACATACATATATATACACATATGAAAATGCACATAAATGTGGATCGTATAAACACGCAAGTATGAAACTTATTCGCATATAAGTATACATATACAAACAGACAAATATTTATAATCTTATAATTATTATATACATTATCATACATAAACTTGAAATTCTAAACTATTTTAATTTCTAAAATGTCATTTTGTTCTTAACCTCTTAATCTTCCTATTAATTTACATGGTTATTTATTTTTAAAACAATTTTATTGACCCAATTTAACTTACTGACCAGTGATCAAACCAATGACCGATTGACCCAATCCCCTTGCCAAGCTAATGCCCCATCCATACTGATATGGTCAATTGATGTATATGGTTTTAGTCTAAAAAGCATACATGAAATTGGGAAATGAATATCACGTTATATGGTCACACCAAGAAGGCAATTTTCAAAAAATCAAGATACACTACATCTAGGACACAGCAACAAAGAAATATATATTGTGGATTCCCTTTCATGTAAGTAGTTACAAGTTGTTTTGTCTCTCAAGTGTATACGCCTCTTTTTGGTATGGGTCATCATGGCTTAACCTTTTGTACACGGGCGGCACCCCCCATCAGTGCCTTTTTTAATTTAATTTGCTACACTCAACAAAAAGAAAAGAAAAAATAATAGCACTAATCATATTTATATATCTTACTTCTAAGTTCTAGGACATGCTATCAATCAATTAACAAGACATGATTGAGAATGTAAAAAATACAAAATTGTACCAGGCCAATCCAATTTATAGACATCACAATCACAATACATAATTTACCTTTTTTCAGCCGCAATTGGTAACATTGCCTACTTTAAAAAATAAATGAATAAATAAAAATTCAAAACTACATGACAACCTTGAGCTTGCCACGGGATCACATGCCATAAACCAAACATTAAAAAGAACCTGCACTCTTTAAATAGGGAGTTAAAACCTTCAAACAATTGGTCAGCAGCTTGGCAGCTGCAAGCTCCAATATGTTCAGAAAATATACTTCCCAACAATTAGAATAGTTATATGAAGTCACAGAGTGAAATAACACATGTATTATACACATTTTTTGTAATAAATTTATGAAGTCAAGGTCATGAACAGATGAAACAAACCTCTATGCATTCATTCAAAGCATCCAACATGCTTGCACAAATTTCTGTCTCAGGTTCCTGAAGATGAGTTGTAATCCAAAACAAGTCAAGACAAAAAGCACAAAGTCTTCAAAATAAAATAAACAAGTAAATAAATAAGCTGGATATTGGCATAAAAAGACTAAAAAATAGATGAAGCAGACGACTATAACCTTGTGTAAAGCCTCCACCAAAGCAGGTACTATGTAATCAGACAACTGCTTAATATACGTCTCGTTACGACCTTGAGATTGCCCCTTCTCTACAGCTAATTTAGCTGATCGCAACAGCTCCGGCATGGCTATGAACAAATTAAAAAGATTGCATTAAGATTATTGATCAAGATCCCTCAGAGTCACTTGAAAATTTCCAGTTCACCCTAATACCTGAAACAGCAGCCTTTCTAACTTCCTCATGAAAATAAAATTTAAGAAGTGGGACCATCGTAGGAGCAACCTGCACAATTTATGCATGGTTAAAATATCTAGATTTTGGTAGATATTTTAATATGAAATTCTTCATATTATGCAAGGCTAAATTTACTTGATCAATCCATGGGAAAAAGCCCTCTTTCAACTCATCAGCATAGCAGCAAAGCATGTTACAAGCTGTTGCCTTTTCCTCCAAAACACTAGTCTTTATTCCAATCCTCTTATCCCCAAGTGTAATAGTCTCAATACTGCAAATAACAACACAGATCTTACATTAGGAAATTAGAAACCTGTAACAAAAACACATCAAAACAATGAAAACAAAGCAATACAAAAAACAGTGTTATTCACTAAATTGGAAGAGACAAAAAAAAAAAAACAAAACATTAAAAAGAAAAGACACAAATCTTACAAATTACAACCATTTCCAGCACTTTACAATTAGACTAAACCAAAATTCGAACCTTTCATCATCAGATTCATCTATATCAGCATCAGAATCAGCAGATGTAATGGTTACATCAGGCTTTAGTTGAGCAGACAGAAGCAAAGGAGGCATGACAACATTCATGTAAGGGAGGAAATCCTGCCCAAGACATTTGCAAAGTCTGGCCCATGCCTGCAACACAATTAGACATTCATATTTTCTTATGTTAATATAAAACAAAATTATGCACAATTTCTATTCAAAAAGATAACAGTCCGTAGAGACTCAAACTCATCTGTGAACATGATGAAAACATACTTGCAACATGTAGCTTGTCGTCGGATCATCTGTCTCCAACTGGGATCCTTGCAATGTCATTAGGACTTCCATAACCTTGAATAATTAGAAAACCATAAGTCCCTTGTCTAAACAAAACATAATGTTTTACAATTGTAATGATTAATGTATCTGCTGAGAAAATAAAACAACTTGGATTGCAAAGCTCACAAAATTCACCCAGAACCAGAGCAGAATGCATGGCCGAACTATTTTAACACATTAAAAGAAGATCAAGAAGACAAATTGAAACAATTCAATATTTTATTGCTTCATTTACATGCATAAGAATATACTTACATAACAACCATAAACATCATCAACCACAATATGGTAATGAGACATTTATGAGATGATCATATAATCATAAACTAGCAATATATGGATTATAACCTGCTTAGCATCATCCCTAAACTTATCCTTTCCAACAGCCATTCCAACCAAACTAATGCACTCCATGGATTTGGCACGAAGCATGCGATTAGCCTTGTCAGTTGCATTCACCAAAATAGCTTTCAAGTAAGGCATAACAGCATCGTAATACTTTTGGAAATGCTCCTGTCAACCATGCATTGTGTCAAATAGGACCATTATGAAAGAAACTGAAAGATTAACCAAGTAAAAATAAGTGGAAACAGTACCTGTGACGAATCTGCAACTGATGCCAAAGCAGTCAAAGCCCCCTCCTGCACCATTTGCTTGCCATTCTGAACAGAACACAACCAGTATGCATAAGTTCAACCAGGTACAATCAGTTTGGCAGAACAAGACGGCTAAAATGTACTCCATCACACACACACAATTGATTAATATGTATACATAGACAAGCATATACATATGATCACAGATAACATGCACATACACATTTGGACAGATGTATCTGAGTAAAGTGAAGTTCAGAGGCAGATTGAGAACATACCTGTAGGAGTACGAGCAGTTTGCTCACGATTCCATCCAAGTAAGGCGTTAGGATGTCGGGGGTGCAATTTTCGCTAAAATTTAGCACTGCTGAAGCAGCATGGGCCTGCGCCAAACAAGCAACAAAGGATGGATGCACAAATAGTTTTAATCACATAGTAAAGGAAAAAGATAAATAATATCAATAACCTTGAAACAGTAGCTGCCTGAATAACTCCAGCACCTAATGACAGAAAATCCAGTAACCTAGTACTTTGAAAAGGTGCCTGAGAGGCATCATGCTGTTCAATTCTCTGTTTGTCCTAACGATGTACTGAGATCAGTAACTTATTTTCTGAGGGAATTTGAATTTCATAGTTGCATTCTCCGATTCAATTTTATTATCTTAGAAATAGAATATTTGATGTAATTAGAAGCTAAAGTATTAGCAATAAAAGAATCTCCAAAATATTTTACGAATAATTCTCTCTCTCTCTCTCTCTCTCTCTCTCTCTTTAACATAACCATCAAATATGTTCATTTTATTTCATATATAAACATGTGTATATATATATTAAAGACACGTCTAATTAGGGGTGTTGAATCACATTGTAAAACTAAATTATAGAATTGGGGTACCCTTTGAACAACCATGATTATCTTGATTAAAATAAAATTCATGATAATAAAGGCATTTTAATATTTTTCATAACCACATTGCACCTAATTAAGACATTGCATAAACCAGAGTATTGATTTCATTTCCATAATCCAAAGCAAAGGACCACAGTGGCAAATGTTGGTAGAAGATAACATGGTCCAGTCAATGATGCTTATTGGAAAGCAAGTAACTGTAAAATAAAAAGGGTAGCTTTACTCGGCTTGATTTCTGTTAGTTGAAGAAATTGGTAAATACAGCAAAACACCATCAGATCAGAAACTAAGTAAAGAAAACAAAAAACCAAAAGACAAAAAGAAATGTTTCTATTCTTTCTTTAAAAAAGAAAAAGACAAGATATAAAAGGTGATTCTCTTATAAAAGTTTAATGTGCAATAATTAGTTCAGTATGATAACAGGTTGGATGCCATGTCAGAAACAGCTGCAATGCAAACAAAAATGAACATAAATGTACAATTGTTGACATAAACAAAGAGCAGATGGTTATGCAAAGATGAAAATTTTACAAGCCCACTGACCTGCACTCGTGGATTTTGGAAGTCATCCATAGCAGAAGCTAAGGCAGGCAGCACCCGTTGATGATATTGAACTTGCAAGTCTGGGCCCAAATCTGTTGACAATTGACCAATTGCATTTATTGCTGCCCAACGCACACGAGGATGAAGGTCTTGGAACGAGTTCAAAACCATTGACACCACTTGCTCCAAATTTTTTATCATCACCTGCAATATAAACATGACAATATTAAACAATTTTTGTCAACAAAATTAAGCTTTCTGGTCAAGCATCATACTTGGACCTCAAATTAACACCATAATACCCATAACAAAACAATGAGCAACTACAATTATAATCAACAATCACTAATAAAATACCAAATTCTTAAATGAACTTGTGAAATTAAACTTAATTCGGACCAAAAAAAAAAAAAAACAATTAACTTAAATTCAAATCATGGGTATCGAAAAAATATCTTCAAAGTCAATACCTTCGAACAACCCTCTGCAATTTGTGCAAGGCAGATGAGTGCAGCGTGATGCTTTTGCCATTCAGGAGCAGCCAAATATACTGGCAAAAGCTCCGAAGCAACGGGCACAATCGTATTTCCACCCAAAGAAATCGACAACCTATCCAAACATTCCTGCCCAACGCTATAATTACTGGTCTCACCAGCATCCTCATCCTCGGTCTCGGCATTGTGCCACGCAGGATCATCATCTACATCCTCCAACATCTTCAACAATATAGAAAACAACCTCTGAATGAACTGTGGCAACTTCCTCATCATTCCAGGCGCCCTCTCTCTCGCTTCGGACAGTGTAATCACAAACTCAATCGCAAGGTGTCTCGTCCCTTCCTCTAAACTCTCTGCCTCAGCAATCTGCAGCATAGAACCCACAACATCCACAATCTGCCGCCTTAGAAACCTCGGCTCCGTATCGGCCAACTCAATCAACAGCTCCAGAGCCTCCTGCGCCGTGGCCTCTTGACCGCAATTCAACGCCTCCGTCAAAGTCTGCATCATCGCCGGCAATAAATCCTGAAACCTATCCCTATCACAGGCACTCTCCAAACACTGAACAAAATTAATCGCAGCCCCCAACGCAGCAATCCTCACATCCGAATCCACACCAGAGCTCAAACACTGAATAAACACAGTGTGCAGAGTATCCAAATGAGGAATTAGGGTTTCCCCTATGTACTGCGCCAATTGCGCGAAAATCAACAGCGCCGATTCGCGAAGCTTCGGATTGTCCGACGTGACGCACTGGAACATAAACGGCAAGAGCTCCGGCCAGCCACCGTCGGGCAAGATCGAAGAAGCGAGCTCTGAAATGGTATCGCAAAGCTTCTTGGAGATGGTCTTGGCGGTTTCGCGGCCGACGCAATCCAAGAGAGTGGATTTGAGGGTGGACTGAGTGGCCGGAGAGAGATTGGGGTATATGTAAGAGTCGTCGCGAGTGAGCTGCTTGCGGAGGAGGATGGCGGACATGGCGCGAGCCTCGGGGTGGGGGGAGGAGTGGAGGAGGTGGGCGAGCTTGAGAGAGAGGGAATCGGGGTGTGTTTGCTTGCAGAGATTGAAGAGAGACTCGGCTTGAGAGCGCTGGTCGTTGGCGGTGGACATGAGATGGGATATTAGGGTTTCGAAGTGAGTGGGATCGGGGCCGAGGATGGCGGCGATTTGGGCGAGTTGGAGCTGAGTCGGATCGGAAGCCATGGATGTGGAGGAGAAAGAAAGAATTAGGGTTTTTCAGAGACTGTCACAGGAGAGAGAAAATGGAAGGAGGCGGCTCTTCTCTGCTCTCTGGGTTTTTTCTTTCTTTCTCTCTCCTCTTTCCCCTTCTCGCAGTTTGAAGAGAGAGAGTAATGGAGGGAACAGAGAGTGGGTTTTCAGAACGGCGTTTGGGATCGAAAGTTCAGGTTGGTTGATTATGGGCCAATTTGGAATCTTATTAAAAATTAATTTTTAGTTTTTAATTTATTTTCAATCATATCAGTTTTAATTTTTTGAAAATAATTTTTAAAAAATTTTACATTTTATTTTTCATATTTTAATGTTTTTAATAATTTTTTTTAATATTTTTAAAAAAATTTAAAAATTTTAGACATATCTAACATAAATACACTTAAAAAATATAATATTTTTGAAAAAAAACCTTTAAAAAATGCACTAAATACCAAAAATTATTAAAAAAATTCAAAAAAAAATATTTTTCATATTTTTGTGTATTTATTAATTTTTTTAAATATTTTTTCACAAATATTTTACTATTTAGATATATTTAAGTAAGGTGTATCTAAAAAAGTAAAAATAAAAATTACTTAAAATATAAAAAATATTCACTAAAAATAAAAAAATATAAAAATCAAAAAATTTAATTTTTAAAAAATTAAATCCAAAAAGTTGAAATCAAACAATTGATTATTTTTTTATTTTTTTACATATTTTTTTAAAAAATTAAAAAATTAGTTTTTAATTAACTTTTCAAAACAATGAGTGTCAAGTGGGAGCTGTTTTTGTTTATTTATTTTATTTAGTTCCTACTATTCTAATAAATCTATTTTTTATTTTTTATTTCTTAATCAAATTAATTTTTAATTTTTTTAAAAAATTTTTAAAAATCAAACCATACATAGCCTAAAAATCTTTTGATAAATCATTTTTTACGTTGGTAACTTATTTAATTATTTGTTAATTTTACGACATTTTTATCATCTGAGACTTATTTAGTAACCATTTCACTTTCAGTTTTCAATTTATATTTACAAAAATTTAAAAAAACTATCATAAAAACCTATTTAATAATTTTTTTGGTTTATAAATGGTTGTCTTAGTTTGTAAATTTGAGAAAAAAAGTAAATTCAAAAAATGAGTTTACGTTGGTTTTAAACAAAAATTTTAAAAAAAATTCTAACAATTTTTTTTTCAATTAATTTTTTTTTCAAATATTTTTTTCCAATTAATTTTTTTTTTCAATGAATTTTTTTCCCAACTAATACTAACCGAGAGAGCAATTGGTAATACTACTTTAAACCTTAGAAAGGAGATTGTAATTTCTAAAATGTGAAGGGTGTCAATATAATTTACCCAATGAGGACAAAATTGGTATTTAAAAAAATTAAATTGCTAAGGAGGGAATCTGTAATGAAACTTTAAACTCTAGGGAGAGATGTAATTTTCAAAAGGTGAGGGAGGGAATTGTAATAAACATAAACCTCAGAAAGTGTCAGTGTAATTTACCCTATTTATAATTTTAATATATTTTTTTATAAATTAAAAAAAAAATTACATGTTATATTCATTTTATTATATTTATATACATTGTTTACATTTTTTTCAAAACAAACAATAGTTTTAAGGGTTTTTAACATTTTTTTTAACCAATAATTAGAAGAGCAAACACATTAATATATGCAATTAAAGAGATCATAAATAAAAGTGAAAAAATAGTATTAGGCAACTGAATGTTTTTTAAAAAATAATTATAATTGTATTCTTTTTGTAATAGGATTGTGTTTTCTATATAATAGAATAGATGTTAAAAGTAAAATTAGTGAAAATATTTTATATATAATAAACAAGAAAATTAATTGTAAATCAAATATAATGCAAATAAAAATGTGCATAGTACAAATATGGGTTTTGTTTGGGGCATAGTCTGACTTTTACTACACACTTACCTATAATTTTTTATTTATATAATATTTTTAAATGAAAATATTTTTTTAAGAGTGAGCCTTGATTGTCCGAGGGAAATGATGGATTGGCATCAAGCAAAAGAAAATAAAATAATTGATGAATTGGTGGGATTGGGTTGGTCTAACTATTTAATTTTGAATCTTTCTTTATTTGATATTACAAAGCCATGTCGGGTTTTGTACCCACTTTTAATTTTTAAAGATATATAAAAACATATATCACATGTCTGCTTGTATTACTTTTAATCATTAAAAGGTTTTCCCACAGCAACACCAATACCATAAAACTTGAATAGAAAATTGAATTTTGTTCACACAATAAGTCTAAACATTGCACAAATTAAAAATGACAACTTACTTTATTTTATATGTAATTTATATTTTTAATATTTAAAAATGAACATATAATTTTCTCACATTTGTATTGTACATAACTTTGACAAAATATGTAGGTGCCGTTTGGTAATACTTACATTTTTAGTTTTCTGTTTATATTTATAAAAATTTAAAAAACTCAAATTAAAATTTGTTTGGTAAATTTTTTATTTATAAATCAGTGGTCTCAGTTTATAAATTTGGTCAAAAAATATAAATTCAAAAAAAGCGTTTCCATTTTAAGTTTTCAATTGTTTTTTTTTTTACCACTCAACACTAGCCACCACCTACCACCATTTTCCATCACCGTCTTCCACTACCACCTCCCATCCCCCACCACCACCTGCCATCACCACCCGTCACTTGCCACCACCACCCACCTGCCACCCACCAGCCATCACCAGTCACTACTCACCTGCCACCCACTCGCCACTGCCACCCACCCCTTGTCGCCGCCACCACCACCTACAACCCGTCACTACTATCCACCGCCTGCCACCACCACCCGCCACCTACTCGCCACCACCACTCACCAGCCACCTGCCACCACCAGCCACCCACCACCACCTGCCACCTACCCGCCACCACCACCACCACCACCCACCCGCCACCCACCACCCACCGTCACCACTTTCTACCACTGTCTTCCGCCACCACCACCAACCACTTGCCACCACTTTTCACCACTGTCTTTTGCCACCACCACCTACCCACCTGCCACTTGCCACCACTTTCCACCACCGTCTTCTGCCACCATCACCCATCACTTGCCACCATTTTCCACCACCGTCTTCCGCCGCTATTTCTCACTATTTTTTATATTTTTAAATTTTTTTAAATATTTTGTCAATTACCAAACGCGTTTGTAATTTATGTTTTTTTTAAAATAAATAAAAAATAAACAAAAATCAATTTATAAATTGTTTATAAATATAAACTGAAAACGTAAATGTTACCAAACAGACCCGTAACTTTACAATTCACAAAGCACGAAGAGATAATATAAAAATTTGTCCTATATTATTTTGCACAAATCAAAAAATAATATTATATTTATATGAAAATTTTAAAAGTAGCTATAATTTTAAATTAGAAATGCTAGACACTCATAATTTTATATTCACAAGTTTATCTATAATGATGTAATAATTGAGTTGGACTTATATGTGATAAATTAAAAGTTGACACATATCTTTATGAATTAATTTTTTTAAAAAAAAATTAAGATCTCAAATATTTTTTAATTTTAACATATATAAAAAAGAATTCAGTGTACTTTACCTTAAATAATAATAATCAACTTGTTTGGTTTTGGTTTTTAGAAAATTATACTTCTTTATTTTCTATATTTTTTTTTGTTTTCGATGATTTTTTAAAATATTTTAAGCAGTTTTTTTTTTAATTTTTAGACACACCTAACATAAATACATTTAAAAAGTATAATATTTGTGATTTTTTTTTATAAAAAAATCACTAAATACCAAAAATATTAAAAATAAATACCAAAACTTAATACAGTTTTCATATTTTTGTATATTTATTAATTTTTTAAAATATTTTTTCACAAATATTTTACTATTTAGATACATTTAAGTAAGGTACATCTAAAAAAATAAAAAAGTTGCTTAAATTTTTAAAAATATTTACGAAAAATAAAAAATTTACTTTTCAAAAAATTGAAATCAAATACACTAAATAATTTTTTTGCCATAAAACCCCAATTAGATTGGTAAAGAGGAAAGATTGAGGCCAAGTTTGACAAGTTGAAAAAAAGTCAAAAATTCAACAAGTTACTCAAAAAGTTAAAAAGTTATCACTATTCACTAAAAGTCAAAAATTACGACTGCACAACTTTCAATCTTAATTTTTCCCTATACACTAATTTATACAAATTTTTAATACACATTTTTCATAAAAAGTCAAAAAATTAACTCAAACAATCATATATTTTTTCCTCAACTTTTTAATCTAAAAAATTAAAAAATACACTTATTTAAGACATCTAAACAATCCCTGACCTTCACTATCGAACATTTTGCACGATCCTCTCTTCGTTTTTTTTTTCCCCTCCACCTCAAATGCACAAACTATGCATGCACTAATCTCAATGTTATCGGAACACAATAATGACCCACAAGGTTTGCGACCAAATAAAGCACCATTGAAGCACAATGTGGAATGTAAAATAAATTTATTTTTTTTCCTTCAATTTATTTTTTTCTTTTCTAAGATTAATAATGCATATTCGAAACTGCCCATTGGAGTGGTACCATATAAAGTGGTAAAGCTATACACCTAATTTGTAACTAAATTATCATATAAAATGATATAATCTTTTATTTTTGAAAAATGACTCGTAGCTCGAATTTCGTCCGCCTCGAATGGCCCGAACTGCCCAAAATAATGTCATTTTGGGTAGTTTTTTTTTTTTTTTTTTTTTTTTTTTTTTTTTTGGGTAGTTTTTTTTTTTTTTTTTTTTCTTCTTCTTCTTCTTTCTTTCTTTCATTTTCATTCTTTCGAACACAAACAGAGAGGGAAGAGAAAAGGAGAGAGAGAGAGAGAAAGAGGAGAGAAGAGAAGATAAGAGGCAATCGACGATGATGGTCGGTGATGGTGGCAGCGATCGACGGCCCGATCTCCTCT